GCACCGCCAGGTATCGGCCTTTGCTTCCTTTGTCTTCCAAACCTTTCACCAGTGTTTGCAGTTATCCATGTGCTCAGTGATGGAACAGCCTATTGTTAGACTAATGAGGGCAAAGTCACACTGGGATTTTGGAAAGAAAGAAAAATAAAGTGCCAGTTCTTTACCTTGCCTAAAAGATTATTAAACATTAAACTAGCCATACTGAGGAGTTCAGTGAAAGCAAACACCACGGGTTTGCTAAGCTTAAACCTCAGAAAGTAGAAAGCTAATAGTCAGATAGAGAGTGTTTTCTGTTTTAGAAAAAAACAGCAGTGACAATAGACAAGTGCAAATCACCAGTGTTTTAGAAGGTTTAATTAAAAGAGAATGAAGGTTAAGTGAAGCCTGCCAAACTCCAAAATTTGGCCACAAAGATCTTTTTAGAGAGCCCAAATCTCTCTGGCACTCAGGTCAGAATACTTCATGCTGGAGTGTATAATTCTTAGAAATTCTTGCTTTTATTTGTTAAATGTATTTAATTATTATAATTTTAAATCTTCAGATCACCACAAAAGTTGCTGTGCTTTGTCCCATTTCAAGCAACAAAGTGGCAACCAGAAAATATGGGGTGAGATTGTGTTGTGAGCAAGCTGGAGGGGTTTTCTTTCCCATTCCTATGCAGTTAGCATTCCCAATTAAAAATGTGCATGCACCTCAACAGATCATGGGTACTGGGGCATCTCCCCAGCACTCTGTGAGAACAAAGCTACTGATCATATATATATAAAATGCAAAAAGCAAAGTATAAAGCAGAAACTGCAGGAGAGCTCAGACTGATTGCCAAGGGTTGAGAGGTGTTCGCTTAGACTGAGTGTAATGATTTGTACATAGGTTGCTATTACTGATGTGCCCTGGTTAAATGTTCTCATTGCAAGAAAAAAAAACAACTACATAAGCCTTCTGGGCCTGATTTTGTTTTAAAATCAAGTGGTTGTGTTTCATTCTGAAAGATTTGAAAGGAAATAGGGAAGAGAAAGGAGAGGAGGAGAATACATGAACTTAGAGTGTTCCCTTCCTCTCTGTTTGCAGTCAAAATATCTCATCCAATACTGGGGTGTTAAACTTGCTGCTTACGTGGAACAAATTGATGGGAAACATCAATGTTCATCCTAAACAAGAAAACAGACCAAATATTTGAAATTTTCTAGCTATAAGAGGTAGAATACTGTTGAAGAAATACTGAGAATGCATATGGATTAAAGTAGGGAACTAACAGTGGGGGTTGCTAGCAACAAACCAAGTAAACAAAAATGCCACCACCACCAAAAAAATGCTCTGTGGTTTGCAGTGGAAGTAATGAACCTTTGGTAAAACTACTGAAGTGTTAAAGGCATGCTTGTGGCCTACAGAAAGACAAAAGTGAGCAATAAAAGCTGTCCTCCTGCTGGTGTTCAGATGGGAAGGAGGAAGATAAAAGACTGAGGTAAGTCAAGCAGTGAGAGAGGGAGAATGATCTATGATAGAGGAAAGAAAATAAATCTAGGGAACCACTGTAGAAGGTTTGCAAAGAAACCAGTATAATAAACTTGGTGAAAACTTGCTGGTGTAATTTCTTTAATAAGAGTATAGATCTAAAGGCAGTGGAAGCAGACTGATTGCTCTTATTTAGTCTAAACTGAAAAAAACTTGAGTCCACTTCAGAACAGGAATAGAGAGGAATAAGACTGTTCAAGATCAATGAGACCTTAATGTGATTCCCAGCAAAGAGAAAGAGAATACTTGAGAGAATGCTGCAGGCACAAATTGTGAGCGTAGGCAGGGAGCTTCCTTGCTTTACACTGGCCCCAAGAGATGGAAGAAGAAAGCATTTAATAAATGCTTTTAAGGTCATGCTTTTCAAGGATTTTTTCTGTCTTAGTTCTGAGCTACTGATGACATCTGCAGTGATCAATTCGATAATATTCCCATCATGCTAGACCAAATAGTGGCATAAATCTACAAGTGACAGTAGAAAGCCTTTTAGAACTTATTTCTGGACACTGGACAAAAAATATTCTGGCAAATAGAGAATTATCTGAAGGCTTATAACTTATTTGTTATTCCCCTCACTCCATGTGCATTGTGGCTGTGATCCTGTGGAAGTCCTGCATCTGCTGAAGGTCTGGGCAGTGAACTTGTTCTCTGTTTGCAGTGGAAGTGGAGTGGGTCCATTTGCCTTCACTGATTCTCAATGCTAAATGCCCAGCTTGGTTTTGCTTAGGTCAGAGCTCTTGCTGAACACAGTACTAATTTGTGTGGTTCATATTATTGTTTGCTTAAAAGAGAGGTTTTGTTTTAACTTAAGGTCATTGGTAGAATGAAGCTGTTTCCCAACCTGATGGACTATCTCCTTCTCTCCTTTTTTTTTAGTTCTTTAAATAACTCAGAAATTACTGATCTAACAGCTTTGTAGAAGTTTATATAGACAAATTCTCTCCTGGCCAGTCATAACATTGAAGTTGGGTAGTGTTCAGAAAAGCATCATTCATAAAAAGAGCATTAAATGAAAGCTGCAGTGAGACCAAAGAAAAGGGAACAATTGTGAAAAATTTCCTCCTTTAAGCAAGCAGAAGAACTGGTTTTAGCTATGCAGTGCAAACGAGCTAGCTGATGTGTTTGAATGGGCTTTGGGATTCATTTAGATAACTCAAACAGAAATCAGCAATATACTAGAAGCTGTGCTGCAATTTGATTTATGGCAAAACCAGTCTTCAAACAGATTGGGGTTTAGTGTGTATTCCTGTCTTCTCATGAAATAAGATCTGAAAATTGGAAAGCCATGTGTGATGACAGAGGAAGAAAGTGCTATTAATCAACACCACTTTTGTTCATGCTTTCAAAGCCATTCATTTTTATCTGTTCCCAGGTTTTCAGTTTAGGAGGCATTTGTAATCTAAAGTGAACTACAGCAGCAGAGTGACTTGCTCAAGATCAAGTGCTTCTATTCCTAAATGCTTCCTACTCAGGAATGCTGAATGTTTTGAGAAAAAAAGATGTTATTTTTTTCAAGCTATTGCAAATTAATTAATTATACATTAAATTTAACCAATAGTCTTGTATTAAAAAAAAAACCCAAACAAAATCAAACCAAAAAGCAACCCCGATGAACTGTTATACTTTTTACTACTTAAGATTCTGAAGAGGAGCCAAAAATATGTCAGTCTTGACATGACATGATATGAGAAAATTTGATGAACCAACCATTTAAACAAACAAACCAACATTTATAAATATATTGTTTGATGAACCAACCATTTAAACAAACAAACAAACAAACATTTATAAATATATTGTTCCTTCATACACAGAAAGAGTAAGCAAAAGTAGATATTGAGCCTATATCAGTGGGTTAATACCAAATGTAATTATAGTACAAAAGTGTAGGTGTTAAAAAGGATTTATCTTCCAGCTGTGTTGCCTTAGTCTACACACGAGTGGGGGGGGGTTCATTAAATAAAGTTCATGGTATTGTTTTGATTAAGTTGTGTAGTGCTTGGCTATCTTTCTTCTGTAAATAGCACAGTTTTGGCATTTCTCTTGGATTTTCTGTGGATGCAGTGTTGCTTAATTTATCTTCTCTGTGAATTAGTGTGTCACTTCTGTTTGAGCAGGGAATGCAGTGTTTTTCCTGAAAGGTGCTTGCAACTTTTCTGTAGGACAGAAGCTGATCAGTGTTACATTAATAGAGATAATGAGAAATAATTTTTCATTTTTCCCCCAAAGACAATGAGAAAAATGAGAGAGGATGACTAGCACAAAGATGAACAGCTCCACAAACTAGGGGAGAAAAATGAGAGAGGATGACTAGCACAGAGATGAACAGCTCCACAAACTAGGGTTTTTTTTGCAAAGCCTCATGCTGATGCCTTGACCCTAGTGTTGTAGAGCTGCATCACTGCAGCAGAAGAATCACTGTGCACAGTCTGATGCCTCAAGTTATTGATCGGTTGTTTCTCTCTGAGTTTCCACTTGGATCTGAATTCCACTTTTTGATTTACAAGGTTTAGCAAGGCTGCACTAAACCCAGGACACTGAGTAAACACTCAAGGTTTCTTTTGCCTGTGGTCACAAACAAAAGGCTATGGAAATGTCAGGGTGTTCATAACATACTTGAAAAAGGAAAAGATATCTCCACTTGACAGGATGAACTGCTCCCATAAACTCATGTTGCTGTAGCTTGTACGTTAGCAAGGTACATATATCAATAGAGGAGAAAGAAGAGCAGAGGACTGTTTGTTTCTTCATTACCCTTGGCAACAGTATCATCTGTGCCTTTCATTCTTGTAAATGCATTTTTTGAACTCCATAAAAGCTTGTGTCTATTCTACAACTCTGAAAACCTGAGCACACATGGAAGTGTGTCATGTATATGTTTGTGAAAATGTCAGGTTGAAAATTTGTGTCATGGCTTTTATAAGGAGGATGTAAATGTGACCTCTGGAGTGGTTCAGTTTGGCAGAATCCAGTCATCTAGACTAGTGTTTAAATTCGATTTAGAAATATGTTTTTCTTACACAGTACTCTGTTCTAAGGTCCTGTACATGTTATATTGAATGCATACTCTGGTTTAACCTGTTAGCAACGATGTATGATCTATGGCATTCACTGTAAAATCTTTTGAGTAGGTATGTCATATTCTCCTGCCCCTGATACACTGATATTCTTGGCTTCAGCTTTTGTATCTAAAGCAAAATAATACCTTCACAGGTTTTATATTCTTTTGCCTAACTTCTTCAGCATGTTGAAATTTGTCCACTACTTCTCCAAGTTAGCCAAAACCATTCTGTGTTATTTCACAGACATTTCATAAAGTACGTAGGACTGACTTGGTGACTTGATGGGGGAGGAGAGGAAAACGTGTGCTTTTTAATTTGTGTCTTTAAATACACTGGACAAAGATGTTAGGCAAATGTTGGTTACTTGTATTTCAAATTAATTTACG